TGGGCCCCATTTGATGGATTAGCCACCAAAATCATGAGTTTGGGAAAACAACTCTAATAGGTTAACAACGGAATCTAAAGACTACCCCAGCAGATTTCCTTAAAGAGTATAATACATATAACACCTCTGACTAAGTAGCTATGGGACTCAAGACACTTGACTCTTTCTGACTGCTCCAAGATCTGGGAGACATCCTTCTCCTCTCAATTAAACATCTGAAATAAGAGCAAGCTCACATACAGAATCTCACAGACATTTTATAGGGCCTCTGTCTTCAAGGCATTACTATGCTCTCCAGAGAGGAAGAAAAGCTTGGTGTGTCCAAAGTCACAGAGGACATGACTGGTGAGGCTGCCCCAGGCAGGAGCCCCATAGGTAGAAGAAGCTAAGCCAGTTACAGAACACCTAGAGGTCTGCATGGCACAAGGACTTCCTCTATCACTTGTGTGTGAAGACTGACAACTCCCTGTGATTCATTACCAACCTGCTAGTGTCAATACACCCCAGCAAAGCGAAATTCCATGATCCAGTCAGCTTGGGAATGGTCTGCCACTCTTCTAATATTCCTGATCATGGGGACAGAATACTTAGGAGATACAGGTTTTAGTTCCAGTTCTGCCAGGTACTGGCTGAGTGAATTCTAGTAAGTTGCCAAGGGGGATAATAAGACTGCACTGCTTGCCCAGATGTAAGCATGAAGTCAGACAAAGGATGGGAAAGCCATCTGAAAAGTTAGAAGCACTTTACACATGTGAGATAGCAATGGTAATCATAGGGGAAAGGACTTGAATAATGGTTCTGTTTGACCCAGAAGTTTACCCTTCTTTCTTTACATTCCATTAATTTAACAATTACCTGTTAGATATCCACTATGTGCATGATACCCACTATGTGTACATAAAGATGAAGAAGCTGTATGTCACTCCTGTTCTCATGGGGTTGGTGTGGAAGGGAAGTGCGTGTCTGTGACACCTAGAAGGACACAGAAGCGCTACAGTAGAAGCACTATGGAAGTACAGAAGAAACCCAGTAAAGCAGTTTGGAGTGGAGGATCAGAGAGGAGTAGGGAGGAGAAATCACAGACAGCCTGACCTGGAAGCCACTTGTGCCAGTCAATTTAACAATAGTACTTTCAGAGGCTCTTCATTTTAGGAAGTGGTTTGTAGGTTCTGCACGTTTTTATCTTAACATTTTTCCTGAGCTGAGGCAAGTCAGGAAAAGGGAAAAAAGGCCCCATTCATACATTTAATAAACACTTCCTGACTGCCAGGAACAGTGCTAGGGAATAGCGGTGACCACAAGACAGTCCCCATGCTCAAGAACTCACAGATAAGTAAACCAGCCAGTGGAGTACAGATGCTGATGAAAGTCAGAAGAGAAGGTCAGAGAGGCAGCACCCAGTGCAGCATGGCAGGGTGTGGGGGGCCGTTCAGGGAAGACCCTCAGAGGAGGTGAAGCGTGGCCTGATGCTTGAAGGATGAGTGGATGCTGGCCTGGTGGACAGGGTGCGAGTGAAGGAGAAGCATTTCAGGCAGAAGGCACAGTTATCCAGAGGCACAAGGGCATGAGAGAGCAGGAGAAGCTTGGAGCATGGCACACACAGAGTGAAGACGGACAGCCAGGCCCAGAGAGCCTCAGAAGCCCTGGCCCAGAGTTGGGCCTCTATCCTGAAGATGATGGCAAGGGAATACAGGGTGAGAACAGGAAAGAAACAAAAAGGATCAAGCGTGAGGAACACCAAAGTGCAAAGGGCAGACAGTGGCAGAAGACCCTAGAAGAGTCAGAAAAATATCATCACTCCACTCATTTCACAGCAGGCTCAGGTGGCAAACTGTTAGCAGGAATGGACGCTCCATGCCACAGATGGAGAAACCAAGACAGAGAACGGTTCAATGCTTGACCAAGCTGCACTGTGAGTGGCTGAGCCAGAACCTGAACGCAGCACTCTAACTCCTACTCACACTTATCTGCTCTGCCTCTAATTTCCTTCCTTCTCGTCAAACTACTGGACCCCTAGGTATAGGGAGATTTCTTCCAGTACTCCCTTTTTCTCATCGTTTAAGCCTAAAATCATCAAAGGTGTATGGTTCAACGGGAGGCTACAATTCCTGGAGCCAGCTTAGATTAAGATCGCTATTCTTAATTCTACTTAATTCTCCCTCCATACCATAATAAAGCCACCTGAGTATACGCTGGAAAACAGGGAAGAGAGAGACAGGAAGGGAGAAAGGGAGACAAGAGGGAGACAGAAATAGGGAAGGAGGTGGTGAGTGGGGAGGAGAGGAGGGAGGGGGTGAGTGGGGAGGAGAGGAGAGAGAGAGAGAGAAAGTGAGGAGGGGGGCAAATGTGGGAAGGAGGTGGGGCAGAGGGAGGGAGAGAAAAAGAGAGTCAGGGGGAGAGAAGCATTTGGCTTGAGGCCAAGAAGTGAATCTGTGACATGAGATGTGAATATCAAAGGCCTTCTTCTTAGTAGGACAGACCACTGGGTCACTCTGCTGAAAGGCAGATGGGTGTATGGGTGGTGGCTGAGTGGATGGGTAGATGGTGCAGGAAGACAGCAGGTACCCACTAAACAAACAGGGGGTAGGCGGGTTGCCTGCACAGAGCAAGCAGGGAACAAAGGCCTCTCACTCTTCATGCAAAGTCCACAGTGTGCAAAGGGCATCAATATTGGACATTTCTCACTGTGACATTTTGAAAGCTCAGCCTAGCCCAGAACAATGGTTATCCTCTGGGGACCATGGGCCATGTGCCCCTGGGCCTTATTTAATGATGGCTTGGCACAGCCCATGTACTTGGTGAACTTGACCTTGGGCATCAGCCTCCCATGATGGCTCTACGTCACTCTGGTCTCTTCCCCTAATGAGAATTCCAGTCTCACATGAATGGATGGATTCATTCTGGGGGCAGGAAAACCGCTCAGGGAGTGAATCAGAAGGACCCAGCCCCGGTCTCCTTGCCAGCCATTGAGCTAGGAACTGAGTGTGATTGTGTGCCCAGGCGCCGGTGCTGTTCCTCTCTTTGAGAGGGTCAGAGTCCACGCAAGAGATGACGTAGAAGCCCTTTAAGGGGGAAGAGAAAGGAATCTCAGCTTTGAGGGACAAAAGCCACCCTTCTGGTTTTGACTCTCAGTCTGAGGAGGTGCCAAGATGTGCATGTACTGGTAAATTAAAGCTACTAGATGAAAATCTCAGCTCTTGTTAGACAGTTGTCAATTTCAATTCTCTCCAACCTGACAGGCTAACCTTTAAGGAATGGGCTACTATTTTTTTCAGAAGGGAAACTTTCTGTGAGACAGGTGAAAACAACCTGTTTCAGATCACCCAGAGAATCATTTACCTTTATTAGTTTCTGCTCTGCTCTTCTCCCAACTTGTGAAGCAAAGACAGTAAATGTCAATCTAGGCAATATAAAGCACCTGTACTGCCTGCTGTTCACTTTGAAAAATTAGGCAAGAACACTCTAAAGATTCAAGACACAGCAGCCAAGAGGACATCTATATCCCAAGACTGGGGGCCCAGAATGACACTGAAAGGACGTAATTCCTCCAGGAAAGGGAACTGAAGAACTGCCGCTTTGCCCACCACTATCTAAGGTTTTCACAAGACAGGAAAGGTAGCTTTTTAAGGCTCCAGCCCCCTATTGGCCTCCTGGAGCAAATGGTGGAGGTAGAAGCAGCAGCTCCTGTGGGGGCTTATTAGGGCATTGCTTCGGGCTTCCCTCACGTGCTAGCGGTGATTGTCTCACATTTGTCCATCAATCTTGGTCTAAGAAACAGGTGGGGGAGGGGACAGATGGTTCGCATTTTACTTTAGAGCGCTATCCCTGACACTGACTGACATCAGCTGCTTGCGGTCTCCACTGATGGCCAAAAGTTAAACTGCAAAAGTCTTCCTGAAGGATATTCTACCATCTTCATTCATTCATAACTGGTTATCATGCACTTTGCATAAACAAGCACACTAGACTCTGAGGACAGAGTGGCAAATATGTTCCCTATGCCCATGGGCTGATTAATCTTGTACATCTCTGGGGGTCAATTTATTCACACATTATAGTTGAATCCCCTGAGTTACAGGGTTGTGGCTATACAGGTCCTTGGGCCTGACGGTGAGGTAAGGTCCTGTATATGAGTATCCTCTAAGAAAGCCCCACGAAGGCAGGCAAGTCACAATTCTCTCTTGTGAACATAAATAATCGAGAGCAACAAATGGGGATTGCCTTTTGGGCAAACTGAGTCTTACAAAATAGATACACCATTATGCAGTGTCTACTATGACCCAAGTATCACATCATTCTGCAGCAACTGCAATTATGACTCTATTACTCTAAGACTCCCTGGCTTCTTTTCTTATGGCATGATAGTTCCCATAAGTTTAAACTTGACCATGCCTATTTAGAGGCCAGGCAGTGAGTAATAGCCCTGGAATGATTAAAACCAGTCCAATCCCACAGTGGGAGGGTGTGTGCGGGGTGTAATTCTGGCCCCTTTAAGAAGAGAAGCAAGTTTTCCTTGTCTTTTGAAGACTGTTAAGTCGTGCAAAGGATAGTTACCCAAAAGGGAGTGGGTTTTGATTAGTGAACTGGGTCCAGGCTGCCACAGAGAGGGCCACAGCTCTGGAGGGATTGGCGCGGGGCAGAGATGCCCACAGGGGAGAAAGACGACACTGACTCCACCTCAATGGGTGTTTAAAAAAGGAGGGAACAAGGAAGTCCCTCACTTCAAGGAGCTAGGAGGACACGAGTCCGGCAAAACAGGGGTCAGACGCAGAGTCCCAGGCTAAGAGGATCCTCCGCCACTCTCCCAGGGAGTCCTGCGGAGAGATGGCGACTCCGGGAAAGCACCGAGGGAACGACCCTAGGGCAGGGGCTATCGGGCCTTGCTCTGGGGCGGAGGGGTCGTGCGGGACCGGGGAGAGCCGGGACGCGGCACTGACGCAGGGCCAGGGGCCTCGTGGGTCCGCGGGTCCAGCAGCTCCCGCCGCCTGGGCCTCACTCACCAGCTCATGGTCCCGAACCTGGGCCTGCCGCCGGGGTCCTCAGCCACAACTCGTTCCTCTGGGATCACTTCCGGATTCAGCCAGTCTCCAGGAAGTGACGTAGAGCCCGCCCCTCTGCCCGGAAGAGGCGGTTGGGAGGCGGAGCCCGGCGCGTTAACCCTTCTGCTGCAGCGTGCTCGCTGTGGAGTTTCGCTTGCCGGCGACCCTCTGGCTCTGGCCTAGCACTTAGAGACTCAAGCTGCAACGGGCGATGAGGGGTACTTCTGGGGCCATTTTCTGCCTTCAACACTGACTCCTAAAGATCTCTTCACCGGACCACGCGGGGCCCTTAGCCGGCCTGTTCTCTCTGTCAAGTGGTTTCTAATCCAGATACAGTGGCAGCAATTGTCTATGGGAGAAGAAGCCATTGGGGATGGAGAAGGTGGAAAACTTACATTTTCTGAATGCTGTTTCCTATCTTTTACAGTTTGTACACCACACATGCATTACCTGTTACAAACAAATGGACGTTTCCCCTCCAAGATGGCACAGGGCTCTGAATATCAATACATAGGTCCTTTTCAGGTTGGAATGTTCTGTAGATTTATTCAACACGAGAAGATGCAGAGTATGGGTTGCTCCCTACCATTCAGCCCTTCCCGTTGGTCTCCTCTACAGGACTCAAATGATGGAAATTTCCCCATTCTTTCTATTCCTTCATTTAACTAATATTAGTTGTACTAATATTAGTGTCAGGTACTGAGCCAATCTCAGGATATAACCATCTCAAGGAAGTATCTGCCCTGCCCTTGTTCCTTCCCAGAGCTACTTTCCTGGAGGGAGAGACGAGCAGGCAATTACAGTCATGCTATATGATGGGATAGAATGAGGTGTGGTGGCAGCCTGGAAAGGGACCCTGAGGCAGCACATGGAGTTTTAGGGAAGACTTCCAGGAGGAGCCAGTGTGTAAGCCAAGCCCTGAAGGCAGAATCAGGGCTAGCCAGGTGAATCTGAGATGAGGGGTGAGGAGGCTCCAGGCAGAGGGAACTTACCATGGCAAAAACACAGACAGGTCCAACAAGCAGCTGACTTGCCTTGGGTCTCCTAAAGTCAGAATTCAGGGCCTTGTGGCTCACAAGTTGCCTGAGATTCTGGGCTGATTTGGTTTCCTCACCCCTAAGTACCTCCCTGCCTTAGAAGAGAGACAAGAAGGCAGTGAGGCCCGTGCAGGTGCTGCTGGGTCCCCAGTGACCTTCTCTCTAGGAATTCTCCTTCCTAAAATGGACCAGGAGTGCTTCAGCGACTGCTTAGGGAGTTGCTAATCAATGACCTAACCGTGAAAGATATGATCAATGACCTAGAGCAGTAGTGTATGATTTGTTCTGACCTCCTAGGGTGGAGTAGAGGGCTTCAGCAGGAGGGGTAGGAGGGTGGGCCACAGGATGCAGTCTCTCATTTGTGTTTTCTGTTTCCATTCTTGAGAGTCCATAGTTTGACTCAAAGTTTCCAATGGAGGTTGGGTCCCCAAGCACATCGTGCAGATCAGCTTCATCACCATGTTGTTCCTCAGGAAACAGGCCAAAATGAGAACAAGAGCAGCCTTGAAGAGTAAGGAGGATGAGGAGAAGTCACCAAAGGGCAGCCTGGGCAGAGAGTGTGGGTGAAGGGAGAGAGAGAGAGTCCTTGCTGCTTTGCAGAGAGTGTGATGGATGGAAGGGCTGTTGTGGGTTTAGGAGACTCCTGGCATTTAGCACCTGTGAATAGTTCTCCCACCTGCTTCCTCCCTTCCCCATGTTCTGCCTCCCTCAGTTATGCCCCACAGGGATAATTATTTCCAAATTTTAGCCTAGGTAACTGCCATATCCTAGGAGAAGTCTGTTTCAGGGCTGGAGGACAGCGGACACATCTTAGAGGTCTAGAATGGATAAGTTCTGAACTACAAGTCTGGAGGAGTCTGGGGCTCTATTTCTAGTTCCACCTTTGACACTGTAACTGACCTCAGATAAGTCACATCCCCTTTGTGGCCTTGGTCCCCTCATCTATAAGATGGAGTGGGTAGATCACATCCCCAAAGTCTCCAGCATTGCAAGGTTCCAAGTCAGCTGTCTTGTTGACTCTAGAGACTCTGGGGAAATAGGAGAATGGGAAAGGCAGGTGAAGAGAGGGGCAAGCCCAGAGAAGTGGGCAGGTCTGAGAAACTGGCGATATCTTGGATAAAGCTAAATATGAATTTTTCTGGGGCCGTGCAGTTGACAGGTCACCTCAAATCTTTAATGTCCCCAGCAGGATCTTTGAGGTTACTAAAAAGAATGGTGTCCTCCCAGGAGTCAGTCTGGAATGTGCCTGCTTGGTCTCCTTACCTGTGGCTCATTCACTCAGCTAGAGGGGCACTGGGCTGAGGAGGGACAGTCAGGCATCCTGCTGTCCTGAGCCTGCTGTGCCATGAGGCATTGATCCCTGGGGAGCTGAACATGGAGACACACAAACACTTCCCACTGTTGTGAAAAACTCAGCCTACAAGGTCGGGAGCTATATCTTTCTTATTTATAACCAAAGGGACAGCATGATACAGATTGATCCTGCCCCTGCCGGGAAGGAATGGAAAAGAGAAAATTGGGTTTCTGAGTAGAAGCTGAGAGTGGAGGCACTTTGGGTAGAGGTGGATGCTCCTGGTTTCCAGCCTTGTAAATACTGATTCTTCCCCAGAAGTCTGAGCCTGAAGTTAAAAGAGTGTTCAGGTGGCAGAGGTCTACTTCTGGGCAAAGCTGTTTATGAGAGGAAAAGCAGCAGCAGAACCTGCTCCGCCATCAGCCCCCAACTTTTCCTTGGAGTTTTTTACTCAGAAGTTGGTAGGCAGGTACTTCCCCCTGACCCTCATTTCTGGGATTGTCATGTCCTGTCCTCTCCCAGCCTTTCCCACACGGAAGTCTAGGGCTGGCCCCTGAGTCTTTCACCATACCAACTCTCATTAGTAAAGAGTGAGCATTCCCAGAACCTGGACCTGGGCTGTCAGGGGCTTCATTAGAGCACCAGGCTAAGGCTGAAAAACTGAATGTGACAGGGCCAAATTGGTGGGCTCAGCTCTCTTGGAGCCCTAAAGGTCTTGATTCCTCAGGGAGGCTCCTGCAGATATTCAGACACAGGCCTCAGGTTTCTATGTGGCCTCACTGCCCCACTTCTCCCTGCTCTGTACCTGCTCAGTAGGATGTCTCAGAACAATAGCTTTCCCAGGGCCTTTGGGGGGCAAGGACATAGGAGGAACAAGGGTGGGAGAAGATGGAAGAAATCAGGTGAGATTTCCAGTGGCAGGAAGCCCACATGGACTGCTCAAAGGTCAGGGTGAAGTGACACATCAGAAGCCAGGCCAGCAAGAAGCAGGCAGAACCAGGAACGCCTGTCTGACCTGTGACTCTGCCCCCAAGTGGCTTGAGGAAGTCTTGTCCCCCTATGGACCTCATTTTCCTTAACTGCAATGGGAAAAGTCCAGGTTAGATCTGGGATGGCGAATGGATATCATCCTTTGTGCCTGCTCTGATTGTCTGCCTGGAATGCAGTGTTGAGGATTCTGGGGAATCTGCCATCAGTGGGGAAGTTCTGTGATTGATTAGTCATGTCTGCCTTGGACAAGAAAGGGCAATGAGATGGTTTATATTCCACTTTATTGTTATTATTTTTATTATAAGTCAATAATAATAGAGCACTCATGACATGACAGGCACTATTCTCTGCAGTTCACATTTAATCCTTGCCACAACCCTGTGAGGTGGATACTACCATTATTACCATTTCACAGATGATGGAGGTATAGTATAGCTTCATGAAGCACTGAAATGGGGTTTCTGACCTAAGTACCCTAGCTTTGATCCGTATGCTTTTGCCACTACAGTTTGCCATTTGACCTCCAACAACCTATGGTTCTGTCAAGGCACAGTCAGGTCAGAAGCCAGCAGGCAGATGGAACCAGGAGAAGCACCGCTACTAAATAGCCAGGTTGTGGATGGAGGGAGTACCACCCTACGACCAGGTTGCCAAGCTGGGCCTCATCCTGGGAGCTTTTATATGCTTCCTCCAGCACGGAGAGCACCAGGCCAGCAGGTGGCAGCACCGGGCAGGGTGAGAGGAAAGGGCAGCCCCTGACATGGCATGGATGTCCTTCAGGGATCAGAAGGCCCAGATGTTGGGGAAAGCAAGAACAAATGCGGGTGTGGAGGAAGGATATCCAAGGGCCCAGAGGAGGAGGAGCCCTGGCATCTGACCCACAGGAGCTGCCACAGCCAATGCTTTGGTTCCACCCAGCAGTGCAGGCCTCTCAGCTTGCATCTCGTGGTGCCTGCTGTGGGCTTTTTTTTTTTTTTTCCTCCACTCTGGGAGAATGACTAACTTTAAGGACTAAAAAAAAAAGTGTTTTGATTACACTGCCTTTTTACCAACTGGGAGCATTAGTCACCGTGGATTGCTGCAGATAACGGGGAAGGCAAGCAGCACCCCCTCCTCCCCCTCCTTCTCTCTGATTAGCTCACAGAACCCAAGAGGAGACTCGAGTGAGGGAGAGTGCACCAGTAGGGAAAACAATCCCCCCAGGATGATATGTTCCCTGGGCATCAGGCCGAGTGTTGTCCAGCCTGGGCAGCCCCCTGACAGGTAGGCTCTAAGATGCCCCCAGACCCACAATAGGAGGTGCCCATTGGAGATAACTGGCAGGAGGACCACTGAGTCCAAGGCTCCTGAGATTCTGAGTTGGGTCTGGATGGCCTGTTTCTCCAGGTAGCTCCAGGGTACACCCAGAAGGGGAAGTCAGAGGAAATCACTGAAGACATGGCTCCTGAGGTGGGGCTCAGGATGGCTCTGATGTGGGGCTCATGCCAGGCTGTGGTGTGGCTAAGGCTGCTTTCTTGAGCTGGGGCCCTCATGGCTCTAGCTGGGGTTGAGACATTCCTGGGAGGTGAGGTTGGTGCTCACGCCCCACTCCCCACCCTTTGGCCTTCTCCCTTCTTCTCCATCTCCATGGGGCAGTATCTAGTACTTTTGACTGATGTTCCTACCCAATGCGGCCCTCTTTGCTCCCACCTTGGCACTGGTGAGGCTGGAGAGCTAAGGTTCTGGTCTAGCCTGTTGGTGCAAGGTGTCAGAAGTGGGAGCTCTGG